CTTCTTCTTCTTCTTCTTCTTCTTCTTCTTCTTCTTCTTCTTCTTCTTTTTGCTCATGATGTTCCCCTCCAGGGTATATATTTCACCCTTTCCTCCACGGACAGATTCTGCCCAACTCATGACACCACCTTCATGCAGACCTATGTTTAATCCCACACCACAGAGATCTTTTCTCACTTTAAATTCCCATATTGATGAATTCCCACATATTATCTCATACTTGAAAATGCATTCACTTAGACTCACTTTAAAATCATTTCTTCCATTTATCTATTCCTCCTGAATTCGATTAATTAGATTAAAAATTAGATTAAAAAACTGCTAATTATTTTAATATAATATAATCCTAGACACATCACGTACAAATATATACTTATTGAATTTAATGGAATATTTAAGTGAGTGTTCTCTTCTTTAATATTTAGTGAAGTTGGGATAATTAATGGTTGACTACACACAAAAAGCTTAAATTAGGCAACATTTCAGATGCTAGACAACATACTTGGTAAAAATCTAATTGATTTCAGGTCAAACATTGATTAATTTGTACACACATGTGGAAAGAGACAGGGCTACAGTGGTATAGATTAAAAATGAGTTGTACCTTTAAAATACTGACATTTTGTTTGTCTGCAGCTCTCCTGTGACTTGAGTAGGAAAAGGCAAAACACCAGAGAGACAAAATCCATTTTGGTGATGAGCAGTCATGCTCTCTGGAAGCCTCAATATATTAAGAACATTTGTTTGGAAATAAAGTTTAAAGAATTAACCTACCTCACCATCCTAGCAGTTTGTGATATAGCTGCCACCCTTCAGGGAATCCCTTAAAGAGAGTTGCTATTAATCCCTCCCTAAATTCAGCTAATCTCCATACATAGGAAGGTCTCTGGAAAAGGAAGCTTTTCAATGAAAGAAAAATGTGTAACAGTAAAGGAAGTGGGTATACATGCATATCAGTGAAACAATAGCCAAACAGTAAGAAGGTGGGCACCATCTTTTCCCATAGGCAGTTCCAACCCTCCCTTGGGTGGGTGGAATTGTAAGTTTCAATTAATGTAATTGGCTTTGATTTTGTCAATAAGCAGTCTGGTAGCTATTTCCAGCTTTACCAAGGGTGTATGTGCCTGAATTCTCAAACTGTGCAATAGATCCATTCCCTTAAGAGTAATTTTTTCTCCATTTTAACATAACACCAGAATAGTGCACTAGAGTAAAAATACCTTCTTCTCAAGTGAACTGTAATACTGGCTATTGGGATTTAATTTATTATAAAGAGAGAATATGTAAATTACTTAGGGAAGCCAATGTAACAGAGCCCCCTCCCCGTGGAACTCATTCTATGAAATACTGCTAAATAGTATGTCATTCTCTACTTTTTGAATCACTCTCTAATCTCTTTAAAAACTGCAATATGGAAATCTATAAGTGATGCCATTCTTGGTCCACAATTATCTTGTGCTAGTAGGGGTAATCTGGGATTATACAAAGATGGGTCAGTCCAAAGCACTGTGCCAGAACACAGAACATTTAGCTTCTATTTCTGGCTCTGTTACTGACTAGGTATATGACTAGGCCATCCTAAATTAACACTGGTTTGAAGAAATGAAATCACAATCTGGGCAAGTATATTGAAAAAATTAAAATGAGAAATTTGATTTGCTGAACTAGTAATAATAACACAATTTTATATCACAAAATGTTTTCCTTATTACAATCTTGTGGACTAGGTAATACATATATTATTATCCCCTTTTCTAAGAAGAGGGAGAAACTAAGGTTCAGAGGGATAAAGCAATTTGTACAGAGTCACACATGTAGTAAGTATCAAAATGCATACAGCTAATTAATATTCAAGCTGAGACGTGAATCCAGGTCTTTGGATTCCAAATCTAGTTTTCTTTCCATAAGACCACACTCAAAGGGTATTCCCTTCAAGGATGTAATAATGTTGATTAAGTTCTTATCACTCCCATTTAAATTTCCTAAATGACTGTAATATGAAGAGTTTCACAGTGCTGTTTTTAAGAGTGAGGATATCAGTTTCAGTATTTCAGCTAACATCAATTTTATTCCAATTAAGTAATATTCATTCTTCAAAAGGAAAAAGAAATTTTACTAATATTGTTCACGTTTTTCTTTTTCTTAACATTCAATTGAAATGGTGTGGTGTGGTGGGACAGCTAAGAGATGCAATGGATAGAGCACCAACCCTGGAGTCAGGAGGACCTGAGCTCAAATCTGATCTCAGACACATGATACTCACTAGCTGTGTGACCTTGGGCAAATCATTTAACCCTGATTGCCTTGCCCCCCCCAAAAAATAGAATGGTACATAAGAATAAATTGTATATTAAAGGACTGAGGTGTTCAATAGCTAATTTACCTTTATTTCTCCCGGCAGATTGTTTTAAACTTGACTTGTAAATATGTAAAATGGAACAACAACCCAAACTCTCTCCTGAGCACATGAACAAAAATGAATAATGAAAAGCCAGAAGAAATAATTAATGATTAATAATGTTTCTATTTTTTGAAGAGTTGGTAGGAGTGGAAGACTTTTAATGCTACAAAAAAATCAAAACTGGACCTGAAATTTCTTTGATATAGAGAGGCCCCTCAACCAATACAAGCCAGCACCTTCTTTGTAATTTATAGTCCATAGAGAGTTGTTTAGGAATCCGAAGGGTTAAGTGCCTTGCAAACAGTCGCACAGTCAATATACGTCAGAGATAGAATTTGGACTTTGGCTTTCTTAACCAATTGAAATAATGGAATCAGCTGTATAATTTCCCAGATGCACATCTAGTGCCTTCTCTTCCTACCAGTTCTGGGTCCAACTAATGGTTTGTCTAATCAAGATATATGTACTGAAAGACTGCTACTGTTTTAACTGGCTTTTGCCTCTTTTTGCATCCTCAGTGCCGGCATAGTGACTGCTGTGTAGTAGGTGCTTGATAAATGTTTACTGAATGAATGACTATCCGACGATGTGACATAATCAGGACAATACATATTATTTATCCACTTGGTGATTCCAGCCTAGATTACTAGATTGACTCTATGGTACAATAACACAATTCAGTTAGCAGGTCTTCCATAAACAGGAGAAACTGGATAACCTCACCTCTCTCATTTGGATTTTATGCAGTTCACTCTCCATGACATTGGCAAATACTGATGGTAGGTTTATAGTTTCCAAGTTTATGCATTACTTGATACTGATGATCAGAGGGTAGCTGAACATAGTTATCTTGGATTTCATCTATCAAGGAATTGAACACATGCATGTGAGACAACTTGTTGAAAGAGTTCCTTTAAGACTGAATTTTGTTCTACCGAGTCCAAATGCTTTTTGATACTCAGCAATGAGTTCAGGAGAATTATGCTTTTTCTATTCTTTTCTGTCAATCACATGCATGTGTTGGTATGTGCACATGGGTTCTGCTTTAGAAAATTATTTCTGAAAGCCTGCCTGACTTCTCATCATATTTTATCAGATAACCTTGATTTGTAT